ATATCTATAAAAAGAAGAACAAATATTTCTACTTGCTTATTTATATAAAATTTAAGATAATATATTTTTATACATACTTTATTATTATTATGAATGTCTTTTTAGATATGTAAAAATTTGAGCATAATAAATTAAATATTTCTACTAGCTTAGTAACCAAAATGTCAAAGAGAGGCCTATTAAAACAAGAAAATTAGAAAACAATAAAAAAAATATTCTACAAAATAATTGAATTCTTTGATTTGAGTAAAAAAAATTCTCTCAATAAATAAGAAGAGTATAACAGTTAAAACTATTTTTTTCCCCTCACAATGTATCATTATGATTTTATAAAGTAAAACAGAAATATTTAAATTTATTAAGAATGCTTGCATGATGCATATACTTGGGTAGTAACTGCAGACTCACGCTATAAAGTTGGACTAGAATGGACTTCAAGTGATTGACTACTGGTAATGACTTGGTTAAGCTCACCTCACACTCTGCACATGACCACCTTTGAAGCCAAGTAAATTCAAAGCACAATGAAAACTACCACTGCCTCACCACTCACCACTCTCATACATCCACCTATGTATTTGTCTTTTAAATTGTTGAATCTTCACAATAATTTTTCTTAGTACTGTGTATTGGTAGGTGTTTTATGTCTGGTCCCTTAGCTTTCAGTCAAGTCTGTGGCACAACACAACTACGTATACGATAAGTATATACGTACACAGAATGTGTCGGTCCATACACATACTTCTTTTATGATTTAGGTAGATATGTGTGACTTTTTAATATTTATGTGCCCCTGAAGTCACCACCTTCGTCCTTCTGTTAATAATATGTAGCACTGAAAAATTTACACTATGCACCAAACTGTCATAAACCTCACAACCAAGGCCTAATTATTTTAATTAAGTCGTCTACCATATTTGAATGCTCTCTATTAATGCCCAAAAAACAATACATTGACTACAAGCATAGGCCAATTTTAATTACAAGTGTACTCTGTGGCCACTTGAACATTTATCATCTCGATCTCTTAAATGAGTAAAATAAAAGATAAAATTTTAGGTGGAGTACATGGGATCATTGTACAGTGGTCCAGCATTTGAATAATTGCTATTCAGTCTCTCATCTTAACCTCACTGGTAATATTTTTTTAGTGAGTCATAGATTGAGACATCAACATTAGACTCAAGAAATAGAAGAGGGATCGGCATCGTTTAAGATGAAGGTTGGTCTGATAATTGGGCTTTTGTAATGGAGACATGTCAGAGATATTCGTGGTGGCAGAGTTGGTGAGTTTTCAATTTAATTTTCTGAAGTAAGGATTAGATTGTAATTTTAGAACTTTTTAACAGTTTTTTTTTCTAAGGCTAGTTAACTTTTACGGCAAACACTACTTAGAACATTAGTTGATAAATTAAGAGTGAGAAATTTTGTCCAAAAGTATTATCAATATATTTTTCCTATAATTTTTAATGCATCTGTGGTATAAAATACAGGTAAATGTGCTCATAAACATAAAGGAAATATTGAAAACTCTAGATTACTTTCTCACATAGACTATGCAACAATTATTAAGATAATTAATCTCTGATTACTTAGATAAATTAAAATAAATAAGCTTTTTTAGAAGTAATGCAGAAAAAAATAAAAACTTGTATAAAATAAAACTGCAAAGAAAAAGATAAAATTTCAAGTAATTAAATAAAAGCAACAATGTTGATTTAGAATTAACTTTGAGCATTTTTTTACCTACATTGTTTGCCAAGTTTTTTATTTAATATATTTTATGATTTACATTTCTTTAGATAATCAACTGCTTGTTTTAAAACTATAAATATTCAACCATTATATAACATTGACATTCTTTTCTTAAATTCTATTCTAAATAATCTGGGAAAATATAAAATTATAAAATACTACAATCTAATTAAAATTATTAAGTCGATAACTAATTGAAAATTTAGGATTGAAATTGACTATATAAAATCTTAAAATCAATTCGTTCTACAATTTTATTAACTAATAATGATTTAGTTACTATTATGCATCAAGCTTAGATAGTGAAAAGATTAATTGGATCTTGATAGTAGTAAAATAGACTTTTATTAGGTGCATAAAACAGTAAAATAGACTTTATTAAAACAAAATTTAAATTTATTAAAATAAAAAGTTGTGCAATGCAAGATGAATTAAATATGTTTTTTTAAATATCAAAATAATATAAATTACATTTAATGAATATAAAATCCTTTTTTATATATTTTTTCACATGAATAAATTTGTACAATTTTAGACTAAAAAAGTTGTAACAGTTAAAAAATAGTAAAATTGATCTAAAAACCGTCATAATTCACTTTCATAGAAAAAAAAATAGGGTAAGTTATACATATAGAGTACAATTTATAGTATTTCAATAAAGTTTTAGAAAATAATACCAATTTAATAAATTTAAAAGAAGATTATCCGATTTAACTGAAAAAGCAACCTAATAGGCTAATAGTGATATTATATAGTAATTTGATCCTACAATTCTATATACGGCATAATCGAATTCATTTTAGAGATCCTAAATGAAATGCCTGTTAAGGAAACATTTGGCACGTGCATGATTAACAAGCTACCAAGAAAAAAAAAAGTTAGTCTAAATAATACTACTATTAAAAAAAAAACTGTAAGATCTTAAATACTTAAAATTACAATATAAAAAATTAACACTGTGAAGCGTGGGTAGACAATTATTATAAATAAAAACACTTCGGCCATTGATATTATCAATTATTAGTGGAAATATAAAAAAAAGTGCCTACGATTTCGTATTTAGGCAATAATTCGTAAGCTACAATAGAAACTGTGATAGCTGAGATGTCATATTCATTGTATTAAAATAAAACATGAAAATTGTTGACCGTTGGGCTTTTATATTTTCAGCGTTTGTTAACAAACTTAATAACTCAAACCAAGCATCCATGTATACTTGTCGGCAGCTGACATGTCAGGTAACATATATGTTTATAAAGCTATTTATTATACTTATGCCTTAGCTCCAAAATTCAAATATTTTGCATTGAAAATTTTACTTTTACATGAGAAATAGATCATAGCCATGTAATTAAAATTTATTTTTAATTATGTAAATACTTTAAAATATGATTTTTTTTAATTGGTCTCTCAACACACACATATATTCACAAAAAGTCACACAGGTGAAAGTAGAGGGAAAAGACGGTATAGTGAAAGCTCGGTTGCTTATTATGATGATCTTTGGGGGTCCTATTGTTTAATTATGCAAGAAATTAAAAGATGAAGCGAAGAAAATACACAAAAGTACATACTTAAGTGGGTCCTCTTAATTAAAGTATCCAATATAATGATAATGACTCAATAAAAGGAATCCAATAACATAATTATCAATGACATAATTATCTGTATATTAGTGTATATGGATTTTGATGATTAACTTTATTTACACTAACTACTAGTTGACATATTCGTGTATTAATTGACATAAGTTATTTTATTTTGATTTAACTTATAATTTTGAGTTTAAATTTTAATTAATATATAAAATGTGTAAAATAAATAAAAGTATAATGAGCATATAATATTTAAATTAAATTTTCAACATATAATATTTTAAAATTATATTAATATGCATTTGAATTTTGTTACTTTGACATATTTTATAAATAATGATAATTAAAAATAAGAATACTGTTAATAAATAATAAAATTAAATAATAACTCATAATATGTTTTAAAATAATAACTAGACTTAAATGTTAAGAAATACATTATTACTTATGTTTGTCAATTTATAAGTATAATATTAAATGGACATTTAAATTTTGTTATTTTAAAATATGTTTTTAAACTAAACTGTTCTAAATAATAAAGAAAAATGTTTAATTTATTTATAAAAAAACATTATATAAACTTGTTTAAAAACTATGAACAAATGAGATGGTCCAATTTACTCTCTTCATCTTAAAATTCCAATTAAGAGGATTCCATTTTAAAAGGACGGTGGTACAAAAGTAGTCTCATAGTTGTAATTGTGAATATGTAGTAAATACTTGGTTCGAGTTTTTGAGACACATCCATGGCCATTAGTATCAAAACTCCTCATCTCTCCCAAGTACCAAATCATCTCACTCAGAAAGTAAACAAAGGACCATTGTTACTTTGAAAGGACACTTTGCTAAGCTTCCTACGAAAAGGCACATTCCTCCACCTGTACAAATTAATTAAAGATGTTGATAAATTTACACGTGGTGTTATTTAAAATTTTAATTGAATTTTTTTTTAATACTGGTATCTAATTATAAATTATTATATTAATATGCATTACTATTTTTTTGTAATAACAAACTTAAAAATTATATTTATTATGCGTTATTAAACTTTCATTTTAAATAAAAAGTATATATACACTGACTGAAACGAAAATTTATCCCAATAGACCTATGTTTAAGCTAAAATGTTGGTATTATTCAATGTCTCCAATTTCCGAATTTCTTCTTCTTGAGCAAAAGTGGCAAACCTGTATGTCTATCCCAATAAGAATTGAATTCTCTATTTCAAGACATTGTTACTGTTCCAACGACTCACTTTATTTCTTTTTTGTCTGGTTCCAAATTCCTTTTCATCCATCATTCTCTCTTGTTAGTAATTAATAATGTTATTCAAAATACCTCACGGGAATTTTAGTACGATATGAACTCAGAATGTGGAAAATCTTGTTTTTATTTTCACTGAACAGGTAATTTTTCTTTTATAATAATACCAGACAAGGTACAAGGCTATCATTATAAATGAAAAATAATGACACCTCTCCTAAAATGAAAACCATATAAGTATTTTCATCTAATAACTTTTTTCAAACGAAATTAGAACATAAATTAATTTTAAAAAATTACGAAGAGAAGGTTCCAATTGAATATTAAATTGATACGACGCATGTGTCACCTGGTTTCTTAAAAACTGTTGCAAAGACACAGGACAAGAACATCAAGCATGAGATGAGATCTACTCACTCTGTTTGCTTTCAAGTTATTTTCAGAACTCATTACCCTCATTTTCCTTCTTTAACTTATTCACAAACTGAGTTTCACTAAACTTCACCACTCTGTTCACTCACTCTGTTTGCATTTAATCGTTGATCACCGGAACCACCTTTTCCGGTGGATTCTCGGAGCTCTGGTTGATGAGGTAGTTTTCCGGGGACAAAAATCCACCTGGGCCGGTGGAGGTGTGTGTGACTTGTGAGCGAAGATGTTCAGATGGAGGAGTGAGAGAAACAAGGTCAAAGCTGTTTTCAAACTCCAATTCTATGTCACCCAGGTAACTTTGCTTCATTTTTTATAATGAAAATATTTATTGATCAAATTTAGCACATTTTTCATTTAATTTGTTTTTTGAATGTTAAAGGAAGTTTATGTTTTAAAAGGGTATAATTTTGATGATGGGGGTGCAATGCAGCAACTGGGTATGAATTGTGATGGTGAAAGGAGAGATTTTTTACATTGTGATTGCTACTTTTTTTCAGATAGTGCAATCTGGGGTGGATGCTTTGGTGCTGTCTATAGTTCCAGGGGACATTGGAAAGGTAACTACGAGGTTAGAGAAAGCTGCAATTTGTGGTGGAGTTTGTAGATGGGAGAGTCCTGTATATGAAACAGTGAAGTTTGTTCAGGAGCCTAAGACTGGGAAATTCAGTGAGAGAAAATATCATTTTGTGGTTTCTACGGTATGGACTTCGATATTTTCTTTCTTTGTGGTTGGTTGTGTCAGATTGTGATCTAGTTTCTGTGTTATATTCTGTGTAGGGATTGTCAAAAGCTAACTCCTTTGGGGAAGTTTCTATAGACTTTGCTGAGTATGCTGAGGCTACAAAGCTCTCTACTGTTTCTCTTCCCATCAAGAATTCTCATTGTGATGCCGTTTTGCATGTTAGTATTTGGTCTCTCTCTTTTTATTCCCCCTTTCAAGAGATCACACCGCTTGAAATCTCAAGGATTCCTGATAAAAGAATTTGAGATGAATGCAATTTACTGCAATGCTGATTTCAGTAGTTCTGATTTGTTGCTTAATGGACAGGTATCAATTCATAGACTACAAGAAAATAATGATAAAAGGTATGAGGGGATTACTATGGTTATTTTACTTCGCAGGTTATAGAGTTTGCTTCAAACTCAATTTTTTTTATGATGGGGGTTCTTCTTGTTAATGACATTTGCAGAGAGGAAGAGCAATGTGAAGACGACAAATTAAAGTCCCATGATAGAAGTTTGAGGACCTATTTAAGCAATGGAGATATAGATGCAAGCACTAAAAGTGATTCTTCTGAAGTAAGGTTTCAATCACTGGGGCTAGAGCTTATGAACTATTTTGGATTGTTTATATATCCTGGTTTATAAAATTAAAAGTATAAATACTTTCTTATTGAGTGTTTGGTTTGTGGATATTTTATCAGTGTGTTTCATAATTGAAAATTTCCTCAACATATAAATTCAACAGTGTCATGTCCATTCTAAGTGCAAAAGTTATCTGTTATCTTTCCTTCTATTTTGGCAGTTAAAACTCTAAAGAAATTATTAAGTTTCCTCTTTCTATGTTTCACAGGATGTTTCTGCCAAAGTAAAAACCAATGGAGCAGAATTGAATACTGATTGTAGGACATCTAGTGGATCTGACATTACATTGTCAAGTTCTGATGGCAGCTCTGGACTTGATACTCCCCGGGAACTTGGACTAAATGGTAGCATCCACCCCAACAACAATGGTTTTCTATCGGATGTGAGCCACACTTCTGAGCCTCAAAAACCTGCTGTAGATGCCTCAGCGTCAATATATGATGTACATCAGAGATCACCCTGGGACTGGTCAGCTGGTTCAGAACATGGTTTGAGTACGGATGGTTCAGCAAATGGTTCTCAGGATGCCCTCCCTAGGGAAAGATCCAATCAAACATCAGATATGGAGATTGAAAGACTCAAAGCTGAAGTTGCTGCTTTGGCCAGGCAGGTGGATGTATCAGACTTGGAACTACAAACTCTAAGGAAGCAAATCATAAAGGAAAGCAAACGAGGGCAGGACCTCTCAAAGGAAATTGTTAGCTTGAAAGAGGAAAGAGATACGCTCAAGATTGAATGTGAGAATCTCCGGTCTTTTCACAAACGAATGGAGGAGGCCAAAGCTAGAAATAGGTCACACTTGGAAAGTGGTGATCTTCGTACTCTTGTGGAAGAAATTAGACAAGAATTGAAGTACGAGAAGGACCTGAATGCAAATCTCCAATTACAGCTAAAGAAGACACAAGAATCAAACGCTGAACTAGTTCTTGCTGTCCAGGACCTGGATGAAATGCTGGAGCAGAAAAATAGAGAAATATGTGGTCTTTCCAATAAGAATGAAGAGAGTAAAAAATCCCGCGAGTTAGGGAGAAACCTCTCTAATTGTGAAACAGACGACGATGAAGAACAGAAAGAATTGGAAGAGCTTGTTAAGGAGCACAGCAATGCCAAGGACACATATTTACTTGAGCAAAAAATTATAGATCTCTATGGTGAAATAGAAATGTATAGGAGGGACAAAGATGAGTTAGAGATGCAGATGGAGCAGCTTGCACTGGACTATGAGATATTGAAACAGGAAAACCATGACATTGCATATAAGCTTGAACAAAGCCAACTGCAAGAACAGTTAAAATTGCAGTATGAGTGCTCTTCTCCTCCTGCGGTTGATGACCTTGAAACTCATATTCGGAGTCTGGAAAATCAACTCAAGGAACAATCGGAAGAATTCTCAAATTCTCTGGCTACCACCAAGGCACTTGAAACTGAAATCAGCAGATTAGAGGAGGAAATGGAGAAACAAGCACAAGGATTTGAAGCTGATCTGGATGCTGTGACACGTGACAAAATTGAGCAGGAGCAAAGAGCCATCCGTGCAGAGGAAGCTTTGAGAAATACCAGAGTTAAAAATGCCAATACTGCAGAGAGGCTTCAAGAAGAATTTAGAAGGCTCTCGATGCAAATGGCCTCAACATTTGATGCAAATGAGAAGGCTACCATGAGGGCATTAACAGAAGCAAGTGAACTTCGGGTGCAGAAAAGACTATGTGAAGAAATGCTGCACAAAGTCAAAGATGAGCTTCGGTCAGTCAAAGCTGATTATGAGGTAAAACTTACTGAAATTTCCAACAAAATAGACATGATGAGTGCTCAGAAACAACAGATATTGTTGGAAATTGAGGACAAGTCCAAACAGCTTGAAAATCAGAAAAAGCATGAGGAACAAGTTAGTAGGGATTTCTCTGAAGAGATTCAGATGCTAAAAGCTGAGAATGAAAAGCTTAAAGTGGATATTTCATGCTTCTCTGAGCAACTTGAACAAAAAGAAATCTTAAGAAATGACTTGAAACTTACGAAGAAATCACTTGAGGAATCGGAGAATTGTTTACATAATAGAATGGTGGAAAGAAATGAGCTGGTGAGTACAATTGCTTTATTGAAGAAGGAAGCAGAAAGGTCACTCAATGAGCTAAATAGGATGAAGCATCTCAAGGATGAAGAAGAGACAGCAGGTAGACTCTTGCATTTGGAGTTAGAAGCACTTAGAGCTCAATATAGTGACTTAAAATGTTCTCTTACTGAGGATGAGACTGAGAAAGAAAGACTAAGAAAGCAAGTTTCCCAGCTAAATGGCGAACTCAGGAAGAAGGATGAAGCATTGATCAACATTGAGAAGAGGTTCAAGGATAGCAATGGACGCACACAACTTTCTGATGGAACTAAAACCAATTTGACGAACAAGAAAGGTGTTTCAATTCCTCAGAATTCAAAAGAAATGTCAAATCTGAGAGAGAAAATAAAAATGCTTGAGGTAAGTTTATAAATCCCAGTGGTTAGAAGAGATAGGTCCTTTGGAAAAAAATGCTTGATCCTGAAATACTAATTCTTCTATTGATATTTTCTTCTACTATGCATCATTTTTTCACTCTGCAGTTTTTTAGACTAATTTACCTCTGGCAATTGAGGGGGGTATATTAACAGAGAGAGTTTTTTGTGGCAGGGCCTGATAAAGTCAAAGGAAACTGCCTTGGAAACATCAACTTCCTCATTTTCAGAGAAGGAAAGGGAACTCCAATCCAAAATTGAGGAACTGGAGAACAAAGTGGAGGAATTCAATCAGAGCATTGCCTTGCAAAAGGTATACCCAATTAATATAGATCAAAGCTCAAGCAATTTGCCAACTTCAATGGAAAAATTTGAGCTTTGTGTCACTTGGCATATCCATTAAAATGCGCTGATGAATGATTGAAATAAGAAAATTTCGACTATTTTTTTTATTTGATTAGCTTTTTGGTCCTATACAATTTAAATTACGAAGCAAATCTTGCTTGCCTTTGGTATCTGGATTAAGCTGTTATCATTGCATTGTTGGTTTATGAGGTTATTGAATGATGCATCAGCAATAAAAATACATTGGCTTGTCTTCAAACAGGTTGAGAATCTCAATGATACTACACACATGTCCCAAGAAAATGGTGCTGCAGTGTCATTGTTCAAGAGGTGACTATCTACTTTTTCCATGCTACCTTTATTACTTGTAAAATTTTTGCACTAAAGCAATTCAATTGTTTCATCATTGATCATTTTCTGGCATTGGTAGTGATGTATATTCGTTGGAGAAAGAAGCCGAAATATCCACTAAGGATGACAACCTTTGTGACATTTTGACTGAACTATCCATGTTGAAGGAAAAAAATAACTCAATGGAAACCGAACTGAAAGAGATACAACAAAGATACTCAGAAATGAGTCTCAAATTTGCAGAGGTAGAAGGTGAAAGACAAAAGCTTGTTATGACTGTGAGAAACCTCAAGAATAACCGGAGGGGCCAATGACTTCTTCATGATATTATCATGGGAACTGCTGTGTGTAGTTGCAACAGTGGAAACAGTATAAATGAATAAATTAATGTGTACAATGGCAAGATATATATGCATTTTCTTCCTCTTTTCTTAGCCTTTTCTCAACTTTTGAACCGTAAATGTGTGCCATAGTAAGGGTACCATTTTACATAGTTTATCCTTTCAGTTTGCACTGTTTAAGTGTTTTTAAGTTGCCAATAGCGCTCATCAGTTCTTTGATTGTATCATTTTTCTTATGCGTTTTATATACATATTCTTTTATTGTATCCTTTAACTGATATATGATATAATACAAATGAGCATTTTTTTTATTTAATATAATGTGTACACAAATTGTTATTTTTATTTTGCATTTATGCAATTATGTTCAGATTCTTTTATTGCATTCCGGTGTTATGATGAAACTGGCATATTCCCTAACAGTGGTCACTCATAATAAATGTGGACTGTGGTTTCAAGTTAATTTTACCTATAATGTCAATAATTCGAATTTGGAAGTTGGTATATTAAAGAAATATTTATTTAATTACTACTACTGATTTGATGGATAGTCTCACAATTATGGGTAAATGTGATACAACCAAATTATAAGAAAATCAACTACAGTTTTTCTCAGAGAGTGACTAGGGATGAGAGAATATTATAGCTAAGATTAAGGGTGTGTTTGAAAATATAGCTTAAATAATTACTTATTCAATAAACTTTCTTACATGAGAATGTATACTATAAATTTGACTTTTTTTTAAAAATAATTTGAAAAAAGTTTATTTTAATAAATTATAGTGAAAAACTTATTAGAATAAATTAAAAAAAAGTTTTTAAACATGATTAACTATTTCTACAAGCTTTTTTTTTTTCAAACTCCTACTAATTAACATTAATAGATATAACTAAGTTAAGCACTTAAAATTTATGTTTGACTAGAAAAAAAATCTCTGAACTTATTATTTACTTAATTTAAAAATTAATTATTCTTTTAAAATATCTCTTCAAAGAACAATATATTTTTTATAGATTAAATATATAAATTTTTTAATAAGTGATACATACATTTGAGATATTCACAAATTTCTAATAATAAAAATTTAGAGATAAATAATCTTTTAGTCTTTGTACAAGACTTATTTTATAATTTAATTTCTATAAGTAAAAAAATAAAATTCATATCAAGCCTTATATAATTTTTTAAAATTTTTTGTCTATGTTGTTACAGTAAATTATAACACATTAACTTTCTCTATTACGTGACATATTTAAATTATTTTTAATCTTTATATTAAGATTTTATTTTTGTAATTTAGTCTTTATAGATAAAAAAATTATATATCAATCTCTATACAAAAATTTCTTTTCAATTTTGTCTCTATTATTACAATGACATTTCATATTAGTGTCAAAGTGACATTTTTCTAATTTTTTAGAGGAGATTTTAAATTCTTTAAAAAAACTTCATATTCTGTTTTATTCATTTTTAATTCAGGATGTTGAATTTTGTTATAAAAGCTAACGCCTCTTTGCTTTAAATATGTGCAAGAATCATCTTGAGATGAGAAGATTTCATGTCTTGATTCATCTTTATATGAGCATCACTTCCAATATTTTCATCTCAAATATCATTATTTGTTTGAATCAAATTCTCACAATAATTCCCATTTCTTCTCCTGTTATCTAATAAATGCTTTCTATACTCTGTCCTACATTGTAATTCATGAATGATAATTGAGACTTTTGAACTATTCATTGAGAGAATTTACTATTATTAAGTTCATTTTTATTCATATTTCAGGAAAAAGATAAAGAAGTGAAAGCTTAAAAGATGTTCAGAATTGAAGGAAGAAAAGAAGTAGAGATATACACGGGCATGTACACGCTCGTGTATATACGCGTGTATATCACTGGATGCATAAATCAAGCATACATTCAAGCCAGAGATATACACGGGCAGGTACACGCTCGTGTATATGAACGTGTATATCACTAGTAGAGTCAATTGGAAGGCATCACCTAAACCAGAGATGTACATGGTCAAAGTACATGACCGTGTACATGGGTGTGTACTTTTTAGAAAAGATTTGAAGGGCAATTGTTGGAAATCAGAGATATACACGTTCGTGTACTTGAGCGTGTACTTTCAACTTACGTAAAAATTCAAATTGTGCGCAAAGATAAACCCTTGGACGACTGATATAAAAGGGAACTTGACACAGAAACCGGAGGAGGCAGTTTTGGGAAAGACGAAGTCGGTGACGGCTGGAGAATGAAATCAAGTCTTTAATTCATCTCTTTTGTAATTTTAGTTTCAAGATGTTTAGGTTCTAATTTTCCTTTGAGTATCTAGGCGTAATGAATCCTATGTGACCAAACCTTCTGGAATTCTTCTTAATTCTATTTCATATTTTCTTCTCTTAAGTTTAATTAAGTAATATCAATTGTCTTCCACCTTGTTTTCTTGTTTGAATTTGAGTAAAATTTCTGCATGAAATTAACATTACTCAATTAAAAGGACTTGAATGTGTTTCTAGAGATAGAAAGACGTAAGTTTTCTATATTAGGATTAACCCTAATTATGGAATTCATAATGAACTTAATGCAACCTAGGGGTATTAATTAAGGAAGAGATTTTGATTGCTCAACCGAGAGTTAGGAATTATTATCCTTGAGAAAAGTGTTGGTTTAATTCAGAATTTCCTGTAGCGATAAGGGCTAGGAACTAAGTAGTTGAAGAAGAATTTTAGTTATTTGGACACTGAGGAGGATTTACAGTCTAAATACTTGCCTATTTCCCTTGAATACCTTTAATCATACTTTTCTATAATTTATTTTTATAAGAAATTTGTTCCTTTTAAATTATTATTCTTCTATTTTCAGTAATTTTATCAACAAAAAAATTATTTCTCATATTCATTAATAATTACGCAATTAAGGAAGTAATTCTTAATAAAAGTCCATGTGGATAGGACACTTGGTACTCTATTTTTCATAATATTACTCTGACAACGGGTACACTTGCCTAGTAATCAATTTTTACACACCAAGTTTTTGGCGTCGTTGTCGGAGACTGATTAATTAGGATCTCCTTGATTACGTATTAACTAATTTTTTTTATTTCTTCAGTCTCGAATTAACTTTTCTATTTTGCTTTCATTTTTTTTAGGAGCTAATTTTTCTGGTGTATGACCAGAACCTGTTCTGCTGCACTGTTTGAAGAACTTTGCAAAAAATTCGGAAAGAGAGGCGACTACTAGTGCAGAGGGAAAACGCACAAACTCACATGGAAGGAATGACAAATAATGAAGAGCAATCAAGGACCATGTCCGATTATGTTTGTCCATCATTAACTAGGACAAAATCTAGCATTGTCCGTCCGGATGTGCAGGAAAATTTTGAAATAAAGTCCAATGTTATTTAGATAGTTTAGCAGTTTGTTCAATTTAATGGGTTGCAAGATGAAGACCCCAACGCTTACATCGCTAATTTTCTGGAGATCTGAGATACATTCAAGATAAATGGAGCTACTGATGATGCAATCCGCTTGAGACTATTTCCATTCTCTCTCAGGAGTAAAGCAAAACAGTGGTTAAACTCTCTCCCGCGAGGATCTATCACTTCATGGGAGGCCATAGCAAAAATGTTCTTAGCAAAATATTTATCTCCTGCAAAAACTGCCAAGATGCAGAATGGTATCTCTTCTTTTTACCAGTTGGAGTCAGAGACTTTATATGATACGTGAGAAAGGTTTAAGGAATTGCTGCGGAAGTGGCCACATCATGGGATTCTGGACTGGCTTCAAGTGCAAACCTTCTACAATGGGTTGAACCCAGCCACAAGACAAATGATAGATGCTGCAGTTGGGGGCACTTTGAATAGCAAGACACCAAAGGCTACACAAGAACTGTTAGAAGAAATGACAATGAACAACTATCAATGAAGCTCCACTCGATCCAAACCTGCGAAATCTGTTGGGATCTATAGTTTTGATGCAGTAACATCCTTGACAATGCAAGTTGAAGCCTTAGGGAAGAAGATTGATGGTCTATCTGTTAACCATCAAGTTGCTCTAGTAATGAGATGTGATATTTGCGGAGGAGGCCACCCTAATCATGAGTGCCAAGCTACTCAAGAAGAACATGTCAATGTAATAGGTAATAGACCACCTTACCAAAATTATAATGGCATGAATAATCTGGGCTAGAGGAATTATGCCAATCCACCATGAAACAACAACCAACAGCCAATGCGGAACAACACACTCCCAGGATTTCAACAAACTTCACATCCACCACCACCTCCAGTTGAAAAGAAATCAAACCTTGAGGAGTTGATGACTAAATTCATTCAAACTTCAGAATCTCGGTTCCAATCCACCGAGATAGTACTAAGAAATCAACAAACCTCTATCCATAATCTAGAGAATCAGTGGAGTCAAATCTTTAGACTTCTCTCAGAAAGACCCCAAGGGAGCTTGCCTAGCAATACTGAGACTAATCCTAAGGAGCAGGTCAAGACAGTAACATTAAGGAGTGGCAAAACATTACAAGAGAAGGGGAAACAAGAAGTAAAGAAAGCTGCAGTTGAAGAGGAGGATAAAGGTCGAGAGGAGACTGGGGAAAAGCCCCCTACTGTGAAAGAGTTCATACCTCCACTCCCCTACGCAGCAAGATTAAAGAAGGACAAGGATGATAAACAATTTGGTAAATTTCTTTCCTTATTTCGTCAACTTCATATCAATTTACCGTTTGTTGATGTTTTGACACAGATGTCCAAATACGCAAAATTTCTGAAGGATCTACTGTCCAACAAGAAGAAGCTGGAGGAGTTGGCCACTGTAACTCTAAATGAAGAATGCTCAGCAATCCTGCAAAACAAGATGCCAGAAAATTTGAAGGATTCAGGGAGTTTTACTCTTCCTTGTCTCATTGGTAGATTGATAGTTGATAGGGCTTTGGTTGATCTAGGTGCTAGCATTAATTTGATGCCATATTCTGTTTTTAAGAAATTAGGTTTGGGAGAATCTAGGCCAACTAGGATGAATATTCAATTAGTTGATAGGTCAGTTAAATATCCTAGGGGTATTATTGAAGACATGCTTGTAAAAGTAGACAAATTTATTTTTCCTGTTGATTTTGTAATTCTTGATATGGATGATGATACTGAAGTCCCCTTGATCTTAGGTCGTCCTTTTTTAGCTACTGCGAAAGTCATAATTGATGTGAGTGACGGAAAGTTAATTTTAAGAATGAAGAATGAAAAAGTCACTTTCAAAATTCCTGAATTAATGAAAAAGTCCTTAAAATAAGATGATTCTTGTTTCTTCCTTAATGTAATTGATGACTTTGTTTCTAACTGTGCACATGAATTCTTGATGTCAGACCCATTAGAAAGGAGCTTAGTTCATGAAGAAGGAAAAGATAACATGAGCATGATAACTCGAGAACAATGGTGTCATTTAGAATCCACTGTGCCCTTATTGAGAAAAAAGAACTTTGAAGTTCTAGAGTGGAATTCAGAGAAGCAACTCAACCCATCCACTGATGAATCACCAGATATAGAATTGAAAATCCTACCCGAACATCTGGAGTACACCTTTTTGGAAGATGGTTGCAAGTTACCGGTTATCATTGCTTCAGATTTAAAACAAGAGCAAAGAGCTCAGCTGCTAAATGTACTTTGGGAACACAAGAAAGTAATAGCGTGAAAGATCTTTGACATAAGAGGGATTAGCCTTTCTTTATGCACTCACAAAATTTTGATGGAGTCTGATTTTAAGGCTGTCGTGCAACCACAAAGAAGGCTAAACCCAAACATGAAGGAAGTGGTGAAAGCGGAAGTGATCAAGTTGCTTGATGTTGGCATGATCTATCCTATCTCAAATAGTCCTTGGGTGAGGCAAGTCGTTCCAAAGAAAGGGGGAATGACTGTGGTGCTCAATGAAAAGAATGAGTTGGTGTCTACTAGGACTGTTACTGGATGGAGAGTTTGTATTGACTACCGAAAACTGAATGATTTAACAAGGAAAGACTACTTCCCTCTCCCATTCATTGACCAAATGCTGGAGCGTCTTTCAGGCCATATGTTTTACTGTTTCTTGAATGGACTCTCAGGATACTTCCAAATTCCAATAGCACCGAAAGATCAAGAGAAAACCACCTTCACATGCCCATATGGAACATTTACTTACCGCCGGATGCCGTTTAGGTTATGCAATGCACCGACAACTTTTCAATGGTGTAGAATGGCCATTTTTGATGAGATGGTAGAAGATATCATGGAGATATTCATGGACGACTTCTCAGTCGTCGGTGACTCATTCTCTCATTGCCTAAAGAATTTGTCAAGAGTTCTCCAAAGATGTGAAGAAACTAATTTGGTGCTTAATTGGGAGAAGTGCTACTTTATGGTGCAAGAGGGCATTGTACTTGGTCATAAAATTTCCTGTAAGGGAATTGAGGTGGATAAGGCAAAGATTGACACAATTGAAAACCTACCGCCTCCCACTTCTGTCAAGGCAGTTCAGAGCTTCTTAGGCCACGCGGGATTCTACAGGAAATTTATCAAGGATTTCTCCAAGATCACCAAACCTCTGACCAAACTTTTAGAAAAGGAAAATTCCTTTGTTTTTGATGAAGAGTGTTTGATTGCTTTTGAGTTACTAAATGGAAAACTGACCCAAGCTCCTATTTTATGTGGTCTGGATTGGAACTATCCATTTGAATTGATGTGCGATGCAAGCGGCTATGCTATGGGAGCTGTACTTGGCCAGAGAGAAGACAAGCATTTCCAGCCTATTTATTATGCTAGCAAGACCCTAACAAGTGCCCAAGAGAATTACACTACAACAGAGAAAGAATTATTGGCTGTGGTATTTGTGTTTGATAAATTTTGCCAATATTTATTTCTTTCTAAAGTGATAGTGTATACTGATCACTCTGCATTACGTTATTTGCTAACCAAAAGTGATGCAAAGCCTAGACTAATGAGATGAGTCTTGTTACTGCAAGAATTCGACCTGGAAATCAAGGATAAAAAGGGTTCAAAAAATTTGGCTGCTGATCACTTGTCAAGGTTGGAGAATCCCAGCATGGAAGAATTGGACGAAAAGAGCATTCATAACAAATTTCCAGAAGAACATATGTACAATGTGGTAACTGCTTCTTATTTTTATTTACCATGGTTTGTAGATTTTGCTAACTATTTGGTTGCTAAGGTTTTACCATAAGAGTTTTCAAATCAACAAAAGAAGAAATTCTTTTCCAATTTGAAATACTACTTTTGGGAGGGCCCATATTTGTTTCAAATTTGTGCAGATTAGGTTATTAGAAAATGTGTGTCACACTTTGAAAGGTGAAAAATTCTAAGACATTGTCATACTGGCCCTGCAAGAGGACATCATTCTAGGAGTAAGACAACTAAAAAGGTGCTAGAATCTAGATTTTATTGGCCTTCTATCTTTAAAGACGCTCACAGATATGTTGAGTTGTGTGATAATTGTTAGAGGTTAGGTAATATCTCTCAAAGAAATGAAATGCCCCAAAATTACATCCTAACTTGTGAAATTTTTTATGTTTGGGGGATAGATTTTATGGGACCCTTTCCTGGTTCAAAAGGGAATAAATACATTTTAGTGGCTATTGATTATTTGTCCAAATGGGTAGAGGCATAAGCTTTACCTACTAATGATGCAAGGGTGGCACACCAAGAGCTTTAATTAGTGATAGAGGTACACATTTTTGCAATACACAACTTAAAAAAGTTTTGAATAAGTATGGAGTCACCCATAGAATTGCTACCCCATATCACCCTCAAACGAGTGGCCAAGTTGAAGTAGCTAATAGGGAGTTGAAAAAAGTATTAGAAAAGACAGTGGAAAAGAATAGGAAAGATTGGGCTGATAAATTAGATGATGCCTTGTGGGCTATCAGGGCAGCTTTTAAAACTCCCTTAGGCACTACACCATATAAACTTATGTTTGGTAAAGCCTATCATCTCCCAGTTGAATTAGAACATAAGGCATTTTGGGCAATTAAATCCCTGAATATGGATCTTGATCATACAGGTAACAAGCGGTTGATGCAATTGAATGAATTGGAAGAATGACGCATGGAAGCCTATGAAAATTTCAGGATATACAAAGAGAGGATGAAAGTCTACCATGATAAGAAAATCAAGGGAGATAAACTATTTCAAAAAGGTGATTTAGTACTGTTATATAACTCTTGCCTTAAATTATTCCTAGGTAAACTCAAATCTCGTTGGTCTGGATCGTTTACTGTGCACGAAGTGTTTCCTTATGATACAATTGAATTAACTCATCCAGAAAAAGGAAACTTTAAGGTAAATGGACATAGGCTAAAACTATACCAGGGGGTCAAATTCAAACTTTTAAGAATGAGGAGCTCAAGCTCCTCTATGTTGAATGATAAATTACTGTGCATAGTCTAGGTTAGGTAGGTTTAGTTTGTTTTAATTTGGTTAATTATTTGCTTAGGTTAGATAGTTTTAGTTTATTACAATTGAGTTATTCATTGGCTCATTTATTTTCATTTATTCATAATCATAATTATAATAAAAATAAAAAAAATAGAGAGAGAAGACAGTGATATACATGGCCATTTACATGGCCGTGTACTTTTGTTTCATGGTATTTCTGCTAGGCAGGGATGTACACGGCCAAATACAAGGCCGTGTACCTTCATTGTGCTTAGACGAGGTTTGGGCAGGGATGTACACGTCTAGTTACACACCCATGTAGTTTTATTTTCTGTTGTCCAGAGATG